AGCCTGTTAGCTTTGAAGCATAGCGTACCCTGTGATCTAGCCTGTTAGCTTTGTAGCATAGCGTACCCTGTGATCTAGCCTGTTAGCTTTGTAGCATAGCGTACCCTGTGATCTAGCCTGTTAGCTTTGTAGCATAGCGTACCCTGTGATCTACCCCGTTAGCTTTGTAGCATGCATGGAAACAAGCTGCCTCTGCTGCTTGCGGTCTGAACCTATCGTTAGACATTCCTGTAACTCAAAGAGAAATAGTGCGAACATTCTGATTCGCAGCAGTTCAGTTCTGACATTTCAACCTTCACGAATTAGCCTTGGTCATTCTGGAGATCTGGGCCTGGGTCTCCATGGTGGTTTCCTCTTCCAATGTGAACCCCGGGAAGCTTCACTGAAAGAGAAAGAAATCCTGTGTGCTGTGGTTGTTTTCAAACCTCTGTGGGGGGGTTTCCTGTGGAGTTAGCCGGGCTGAGAGGGGATTCCAAAGCAGTTTACATGTTAAGATGAAACATGGACGTTGGTCCTCGATGTCCAAAAGTATCATCATGGTTTATGACCCAACAACTGGTTCTGTCTGGTTCTGTCAGGTGGGGCGAAGCGGGAACATTCCTGCCGGAACCACCGTGGACACGGACATCACCCACCCTTACGAGTTCGACTTCTACCTGTGCAGCCACGCTGGAATCCAGGTAATTTCCTCAGCGTTTGCTCCTCATCCTGCTTCCTCTTCCTCCGCTGATCGTTTGATCGCCTCGCCGCCTCTCTCCTCCCCACAGGGAACCAGCCGGCCGTCCCACTACCACGTCCTGTGGGACGATAACTGCTTCACTGCGGACGAGTTCCAGCTCCTCACCTACCAGCTGTGCCACACCTACGTCCGCTGCACGCGCTCCGTCTCCATACCGGCGCCGGCCTACTACGCCCACCTGGTGGCCTTCCGCGCGCGCTACCACCTGGTGGACAAAGAGCACGACAGGTGGGTTTCACTCTGCAGGAACTTCTGTAAGGAACTCTTTCCTCCATCTTTGGCGTTAATCGGGATTTTTTTCACCTTCAGCGTCTCGACTCTGAGCTGCGAGTCACTCTGGCATCCTTAGTGCTGCATGAAACCTACTAGCTTAAAGTTTCTTCATTAAAAACTGACGGTTGAATAGTTTCTTTTTTCTCACAAACTGAACTAAAGAAAACTGGAGCAACAACAAAAAAAACTTTGATTTAAAAACGTTCCCAGTCTGTCCCTGTAGTGGAGACCAGAATACGTTAATCAGCTGGTACCGTTTCTGTTCAATATGGAGGAGGAGCTCACTGTTTTCATTTGGATTAGATGGTAAAAAAAATTTGGCAGAAATCTGGCTTTAAGAAAATAAATGTTTGTTATTTAGAGGCCAATTCTTCAAAGGCATACTATGCAACATTTTTCAGTTAATTAATGTGTTCCATAACGTTTTGGATGATTAAATGAGTCATTTCAGGTCGAACAAAGGTTTTCTCGGCCGCCCTGGTGGTCTGTAGGGGAAATACCGTACTTGCAATTGCAGGAGCCCTCGGCCCGCACCCACAGGCTCAGAAGTCTCGTGCATCGCGAAAGTCGGTCTTGCTTTACGGCGAGAACTGCTACACGCCCCCAGTGAAAGGCATGCTCGTTGCTAGCGCAGTGGCGATGCATGCATAAGGTTTTTTAGACCAAATCAGAACCCCCTTTCCCCAACGACAGTCGGATAAATGTATGGGAAACTCCAACTTGGCTAACTACAATCTTTGTTATTTAGACACATGCATAACAAATAATGTATGAAAACATGCTTAATTTTCAAACTCAAAAATTGGAACAAAATAGTCACTTACCGCAGTAAACATGGTGATTCGTTGCGTTCGTCTGTCTGCTAAGCTCAAAACAACCGCGCCTGGCTTGAGGGAGAAACCAGGAGAACAGCTGAGCATATTTACGACAGTGCACTTTTACTTTCGCCCACTAGGGGGAGCCTCGCTGGAAAATCACCACGGTTACATAGTATACCTTTAAAGGAAAAAACGTCTATAAATAAAGTGAACTGTTCAGATCTGTGGTTTCTCACCGTGTTTTCCTTTACATCCTCAGCGCCGAAGGAAGCCACATCTCAGGGCAGAGCAACGGCAGGGACCCCCAGGTTCTGGCCAAGGCGGTGCAGATCCACCACGACACCCTGAGGACCATGTACTTCGCCTGAATGCCCGGCTCCGCCCACGGCGCTCCACAAGAGATCGGAGAGGAAACCTCCTAAATGTCTGTAGTTGCTCCCGGTTTACATGCTGTGAAGGAAGCGGTTCTGATCCGACTGCTGAGCCGCTTTACGTGGGCGGGGGGGTGAAGGCCTCGCCGAGACCTGGGAAGCTCCTCCAGCTCCGCTTGTGTTTTACTTTTCGTCTTATTTATGGATCTTTTTCTCCTTTTATTTAAATCCTCCTGATTTCTGATCTTTGGTTGAGAAACAGACGTAGTGTTTAGACGGTTCTGTCTGTCCGCTGAAACGGTTTCTGATCGACGTCTGGCGTCTGAACTCCCTTTTCTGATTGGCCGTCTGTATCGAAGTGCCTGATAGGGTCAGAAAGTGATCGGCCGGTACGGAGGGAATGTTTTGATTGGACGGATTCTGCAGATGGTTCCGATTTGATCATTTTCTGCTAATTAATCATCAAACTTAACATCCTCAGATTGAAGATGCCAAACTCAGGCGCCGTTTGTTAGAGTTTAAGCTCATGTTGGTTTTGGGTCGGAAACGTCTCGTTTGGTCGGAAGAAAAAGCCTCAAACCGGACGTTGTGACGGAAACGTCTCTGTGATTTCGTTATGCAATAAGAATCTGACTTTTTTTGTTTTGTTTTCGGGCTTTTCTGCCGCAGTGCCGTTGAGCCTCCTCACTCTAACCCAAATGAAGCCGTCGGGGCTTCATCACTCGGACCAAACCTACGTGCCTGCTCGCTCGCGGCTTCCTGCCGATTGGCTCGCCACGTCCAGCCCGTTTTCTGGCGCTGCTTCATCGGACTGGAACCATCAGAACCGTTTGTTCCGTCTGCCTCCACTTTTACTTGAAGATAATTTGAGGTCGGAGCGCGTTCGACGTATTTGACCGAGAATGGACCTCCAGAACCCGTCTCACAGATGCCTTTGATCTCCTTCAATTGAAGCGTTTTGAAGTCTGAATAAAGATATATTTATAGCTGCAGATGAAAACCAAACGCACGTTTAGCCACTTTTTGTCTAAAACAATTAAAGGACCTATTTAAGAGAAGAATTTATGGATTATAATCAGAATCTGAGTTTATTCAATTAATGTCCAGAAATCAGAAGTTTTATATCTCGTTTAACTTACCTTTCAGATTTATGAAGTTAAAAACCTTGATGTTTTTTTTTTTAGGTGCTTTGTTTTTGTTCTGGTTGGGTTTTATTCAAAGCTTAGATCAAACCCTGAGTTGGTTCTGAAAACAAACCTGGACCTGACCGGATGGCGATGAACTGTCCAATCAGACCTGGTTCTGGTTCTGGTCTGCCTCCCAAGTTGGTTCTACAAAACATTCTCATCTGAACTTCTAAAAATATGTTTATTTCGTTTTATTTCCCTTTCAGGACCTGTTTAGCTGAAACACCATACCTGTGATTGGACCGTTTGAATCCCCGTCGTCCAATCAGGTTGAGGTTTGACAGATCAGCTTAAAATGGAAACATTTTAACGTTTTAGCTGCGGGGAATTATTTAAAAGCAACTTTCTAGTAATTAAAGAATGAGGAGAGTTTGTATTAAAAAGGAAGAAATTAATTCCTAAGGTTTTCATTGGGAAAGGATAAAGATCGTCTGCCAGTTTGGGAAAATTAATGCAAAGTTTTCATTTTACCATCTCAGAACCCAGTGGTACCAGAACCATTTAACCTGAAGGACCTTTTATGAAGATGGTCTTTCCTGTAAATTAGATTTAAAATCGTATCTCTATATTTATTTAGTATTTTAAATAATATAATCGGTTTGTAATCTCTGGAAACGAATCCGATGTCCAGAATATCGGCAGCCCCGTCTTTTAATAATTGTTTCTGTCATCTCTTCATTTTCTTGTGAAACTGGTGCTTAATAAAAGTTGAAATGTTCTTCGCTGCGTCACAGATCTGGATCTCAAACCCAGGCTGTGATCAGAACCAGAGGAAGGAGTCATTTCTCGGGCCGGAGTTCGTCCTCCAGCCTGGTTCTGCTGCGGTTAGAAAACCTCCACTGAAATGATCCATCAGCGCCTCCTTCCTGCTCTGCTTCGGGTTTTTACATGATGGAGGGGAGGTTCCGAAGTTTACCGTCGGAACCGTAGAGGGGAGGTTCCGAAGTTTACCGTCGGAACCGTAGAGGGGAGGTTCCGAAGTTTACCGTCGGACCCGTAGAGGGGAGGTTCCGAAGTTTACCGTCGGACCCGTAGAGGGGAGGTTCCGAAGTTTCGGACCCATAGAGGGGAGGTTCTGAAGTTAACCGTCGGACCCGTAGAGGGGAGGTTCCGAAGTTTACCGTCAGACCCGTAGAGGGGAGGTTCCGAAGTTTCGGACCCATAGAGGGGAGGTTCTGAAGTTAACCGTCTGACCCGTAGAGGGGAGGTTCCGAAGTTTCGGACCCATACAGGGGAGGTTCTGAAGTTAAC